AGAGGGGAGAGCTTTGCCTAACATTGCTGAGAAAACCTCTCTAAGGAAGTGCTATAATATGCTTTGCCACTACATTAGACATAATAGACATACATAGAGTTGTGGCAATGTGTATCTTGGAAAAAAGGTCAAATACTTTATGGCAACAATAATATTTCCAGTGTTTCCTGTGTTGTGAAGAAAAGGTCATCTGGCTTCTGGCTAGACCAAGAAGTCCTGTGATGTCATTTGCAGTTCTAAATTGTAACTCCAGGTGACAGAGATACAGTAGGCTTCCCCTCATTTAAAACACCCAAACAAATGTAGTTTTTAATAAGTTGACTTATTAAAGAATCAGAGGTATGAGGCATTCAGGGGTATTGTCCTTTAAATTAAAGAATTACAAAAAGGGAAGAACCCTACATTTGAAAAGGAGCTCTATTCCTCCTTCCCGGTGTTAGTAAAATGCATCTATGGGAGCAAGTATGAATGTCAAAGATGATTCCACAAAAAAATGCGATATTGTTTCCTTAAAGAGCTCAAAACAGGTAATGTTTTGCAATGTCAAGACATTTCTTCTCAGGAGGCTCTTTGCTCCTATACCAGAACTCCTATATAAACACATGGTAATTGCATAGCAAGCTTTGTCACAATGGGACCACACTGCATAAATATTTGCACATCAAGGACCCCTGCTGATGAACAGCAGTTGTTTGGTAATGAGAATGCATTAAAAAAATGCCTATGCTGCAGAAATATCTTGAGATCCCAGCTGGAAATGATAACAATAGTCCACTCCAATATGAAAATAGCCCGGGACATGCAGAATATTTAGATATCTGATTCAGTACATATGAATAAATGATTTTGAAAAGTGTGAAGGCTTCTTTTAGATAGATAGATAATACTTTATTAATCCCGTAGGGAAATTGATGAAACATTTTAACACATTTTAAAACTTATTTATGTTGTGGCTATTTAGTTTTGGACCAGAATTGGCTAAAAACAATGTTTAGGTACTTACAAAAACAGAAATAATACTGTAAAGGTTCTCAGTGAAAAGAAAACTGTCTACCTTTATAAACATCTTAATTTAAAAGATGCCACAAAAGAAAACTAGCTTAATTCTCTCTTCCCCAATGTGGTTCCCAAATGATGGAAAGGTGTTTGGGTAAAATAAATGTTAGGTCACACTACAAGTCACATCCAAATTGTTTTTTGAGTGTTTATATCAGTGGATTCACATTAATGTTAACTGGTATATTACAAAAAAATGACCTTCCTTATATTAATCAAAATTAATTGAATTTTGAATTGAGACACACAAGGGGGTTAAGCTGATGTCTCTCTCTTGGAACTTACATTGAATTTCCTGTAGTGGAAGGCCTCACCTTTTAATCTATCTGAATCCTACTGTATGTCTGGGGAGTGCATGCCTCTGAAGTCGGAGGGGGGAAAGCTGCACTCTTTCCATTTTCAATATTGAGCAGAGAAGTTTATTGGCTATTATCTTCAGATAGCAGAATACTAAGCTGCGGCATACAATTGTGTACAAATGTCTGGCACTCATTGTTTGGTGCTTGAGTTGAGTTAAGATTGTTAAAGTGAGTTGATTAAACATCTGTTTAAATAAACATTCTGAAGATGACTTTATTTAGTTTCTACTGGTGTCATTGAAGGTATCCTCTGTGAAAAAAAATTCTCAGAGAAAGGAAACCTTCAGCAGGCGAATTCAGAAAAAAAAAACAGGAAATATATTCTGTGAGAGGAAAAGTCACATTTTTGGAAGGTTCCTAGTACAGGCCAAGACAATTACATATGTCTGATTTATCAGCAACCAAAGAAGTAAAACCAGAAATAGAAATAGCTTACTTTCTGTATGAAAATTATTTGCATGCTTAGAGGCTATTCAGAGATAACATTGACATCTAAGAGACAAATCCACCTTCAGTGAGTCAGAGTATATCTGACATGGTGACAGGGAGAGTAGTGCAATGCTTTGTTGGTGTTATTTTTGTTCAAAGCAACTATTGGGGCAGTGGAAATGTGATGATGTGGGGAGGAATCAGCTATCTAACACAGCAGTTTCCATCAACCGGAGACTTGTGACTTGCAGACCCTCACCAACTAAAAGGAAGTGGTGAACATTCAACAATAATCAGTTCAGTGGCTGATCATGTTAATGTAATATTGCTATAGTACCAAGACTATTGATAGCCTTCTTAAACAAAAAGTAGTCTGAATGTACATATACAGTGGGATTTATAGTTACCAACTGCATGTCTCCTGAAAAAAACATAATGTATGAATTCAACTTTCATTAGCTCCAATAAGGAAATAATTAAAATCAGATGTTTAAATAATTAAGTAGATCATGGAAAGTGGATTTAGAAGATAAAGATGAAGTGTTATTGATGCTCACCAGCCTGGAAAGGGTTCCAAAACTATTTCTTAGGGCTCCACCAATTCTATGTCAAACAGATAATCAACTAATGGAGAATGTTACAGACCACTGTTACACTTACCAGGAGTGGTCATCCTAGCATAATCTTTTCAACAACAAACCAGAAAATCGTGAAGTTATATGAACCCCAGAGTAACATTCAAGGAACTGCTGGCTACCTTCACCTTGGTTAATGTGACTGTGTATTACTCTGGTATCAGGAGAGGACAGAACAAAAATGTTATTCATGGAGTGATAAGGAAAAAAACATTTCTAAGCTTTCCTAAAAGAACATTGCTACACATCTGAAGTTTGCCTACATAGATGGTCATACATAGATGGTCCACATGGCTTCTAGAACAATGTTCTCTGGACAGATGATTCAAAGATAGAAATCTTTGGCCTCAATGAGAATGTTATGTTTGGCGAAAACTAAATACTGCTTTGGACAGAAGATCCTCATCCCAACCATCAAGCATGGTCAGAGTGTGATGGTTTGGGGCTGCTTTACAGCCTCTGGTACTGGATGAGTTGCCATCATTGACACAAACTTGAATTATCCATTCTATCAGAAGATTCTAGAGGAGAATGTCAAGCTATCTGTACATGACCTGAAGCTGAACTGAAAGACATTGATCCTAAACATACTGTACATGCAGCTCTTTTTAAGATGGCTTTCAACCCAACCACTGTGTCCACAAAATAAAAACAAAAGTTAATGCCTTTCTAATGTAAGCCCACCACAGGCATGTTTTCTAATTCCTCACAGATCACCTGATGTTTGTTTTAGAAAAAACAAATTAATGTTGATTTAACTCATGTGCAAACACACAGGACCATGATAGAGACATGTCCTAACACAGCTGGAGCCACAAACAAAGAGTAATTTGTTATTCTGAATCAGCTTTCCCTGAACTGTAACTAAAGAGAGAGAAAGATATGCTGTTTAAAGGAAATGCCCAGCTGGGATGTGATTTTAAGATTTCATCTTACATGGTAGATGGCAATGCATTAAACTGAAGATTCCCCAAACTATCGCGCAATCTTTGAACTTTTAAAAAGGGCATATTTCCTCTCTGTGCTCAAGGTCTAAATACATTCCCAGTGGCTTGATTTTCAGGCAGAATGGAAGAGCTGAAACCCTTTGTTTCATCCAGTTGGTACATTAAGCATGAAAAAAAAAAGAATTTCTTTTGATTTGCATTTTTCTCAGTTTAGCTATGGGGCACTCTCATGCAAATGTGCTCTCAATCATTCTCAAAAGGTCACATCTTCAAGACAGAGGCTTGTGCCAAAGGGAGAATAAACTATTTGGACAGTCACTGTACTATGAAATTATAATGTCTTTTCTGTGTAATGGCCTTGAGCATGTTACGGGTTGTGGCGTTAGCGGGAAAGATTGACATTGCTGGTTTATAGTTCCAAATTAAGTGGGCACTTTATAAAACCAACACAAAAAACAATGTAAGGCAAGCAAGTTAATAAAAAGTCATGGTTTTAATCTCTGCATTACTGCATACAGTCATGTTTTGCTAAACACCTGACAGATGACATTTAAAGAAGAGTAATACATATGTCATGTAGAGTAAAGAGTTACATGCAGGAAGCAAAAAAATAAACTGTGAATAAAAGATGGGAAACATATCCAAAGAAACTATGTAAAATATATAAAAAAGTATGAAAATGAATTAGGTGTCTTTATTGATACATCATTGTTACTTTCGAAACAATGAATAAGTCATAGTGTTCAGATATACTGTATACTGCAAAGCAGTTAAAGTTGTAGTATTTAAATCAAGTGATATTATGTTAGAATTATTTAATGTATTAATCAGAACTATATTTTCTATGAACCCAGTTTTAGTGAATTTAAACTTGGGTTGCTGTCTTGTTTGTTGTGTTGAGTTTTTATCTCCATGCACATGTGTCTAAAATTATACTTATTATATACTCACCCCTCTATATTGGAAAAAAAACAAGAGCTCTGTTAGCCTGGTCATTATACAGTGGGTTTCAGGAGTGCAAAACAATTCACAGCCATGTTTGTAAAGCTGATACCTGGACTTCTTTTCAGAAATGTTAAATTTGGAAAACTAAGCTACTAAGCTACTAAGCTACTGAAACTAAGCTAATGAAAAGCTGAAATGGCAGCCTTGTTTATGTTACTGTAAAATAAATGTTCTAATTAATTCACAAATTATTTATTCATAAAATTATATATACACTATACTGTATAAAGTAACTTACTGTATATGTATGCAAAGTTTTACATGAACATTAAAACAATGTAAAAAATTATTGTTGTTTTTGTTATTGAGATTGTTGGCTACATTTATCCCTATTTCTTCAGCCTAAATATAAATATATTTGGTTTTGTTAATGGTCAGTCATTTCCTGCAGATTTATTGAAAAGGTGCATGATATTCCATGCAACAATAGTGGAATCTTTTCAAACAGGAGACATTAGATCTTGTAAAACTAATAAAATACACAGCACAGAATCTGAAAACCCACCATCAGAACAAAGGCAAAAATAAGCTTCTCTTTTGACAATTTATCCTTTTCCTCTTCTGCGCAGATTCTAAGAAGCCGAAACGAGAGGGAAAGAAGAAGGAGAGAACTCCAATGGACTAATGGTGCTGCAGGCTAGTTAGGAAGAGCCTTTCACAATATTGACCATTCTATTTCTTTTCTTTAACTCTTTCCCACCCATAGTAGGTCATGAATGAACCCATTATCATGATTGTAGCACATACAGTATGTGTAAGTAAGACAAAAAATAAAGTGTTACTTTTTCCTAAATACAGATATAAATTTACTTGTATTTCTTTTAGAGACTTTAATTTCCAATTATATTAAAATACAAAGGGACTAATAATAGGCACTACAGTGCCTTGCAAAAAAAAAAACTTTCAAAATGCATGCTTGTAAAATCATAATAATAAAGACTTAACACTATTGAGTAATATTTTTGTAGGTTTCAGTCTGGGCTGTATATTACATAGAGGGAAAACTGTTAATCCTTTTTTACACAATTATTTTTATTATTATTACAATGTATTTGGGAGTGGTTATTATTTTTTTCTTCTGAGTACTGTACTGTATACTTTTTAAAACATCTGAGTCCAGATTAAATAAAAAATAAAAAAATTCGACCAAGCTAGATCTCAGACCCAATTCTTGACAGTAGCTACATACAGGGAAAGATGCGCAAAGCTACCATGTCTGGAATTTCCCATTGGCATGTGGGTCGAATACTTTTTTAGGTCTTGTTCAATTTGAAAACTATAAGTCGAACTTTCAGGTGTGAATTGATTTTATTGGTATAACATATCTACATAACAAACTGCAATGGATCATTTCCAGTAGTTCTTAGTGTGAGCAAAATTATGTTAAGATTAAATATATGTTACCTCCTCATCCACTGTCTCACTTCAGTGTTGTAATAAACACATGAATCAGCATCTTGGCAAATCATTTGAAACCATTGTTGGAACTATTTTAATTTTCTGGTGAAGAAAGTTTGGAATAAAGTATTGACCCACCAATGAAGCTTATCATTTTTATAAAATGTTGTATTTATATACAACAACATGAGAAAAGGAAAGACAAATAAGTTTGTAGTAGGTTAAGAGATACTTTATTGAAGGGATATGACATTGTTAAATTCATTAATTTGATGAATGTCATCACCAAGGTTGATCAGAAGAGGTTCTACTGTTAAAGTCAGAGGCTAGTAGCAATTCTGATCACCATTGCAAGTAATACAAGCTGTACATACAGTATGAAATGCATGTTTTCCACCATGATACAAGATATTTTACATCTGTCTGATTTTCTCCTGGAAAATAAAGTGTCTGTTCACTAGCCTCAGCATCCTTAAATTTCACACAATGGGTCTCAAGCATGGTAAGTAGGACATCTATGGCATAACTTTAATTTTGTCAGTGTGCAAGAGAGCCATTTTTATACATTCAGTATGAGGAAATGTGTTGTTACTGTACGTCAGGATTAACGCCCTGGAAAGATCAACAAATGAGGTCTGAGGACTTAAACAAGGTACCTCTGTACCGTCAGGCTGCAACTCACTACACTACAAATGGAGTTCTGTCTACACCACACTTGTTGCTGTGTGGGTGGTCACCTTATGGGTGGTCTTCGTAAAACTTTGATTCATTACTAAAGAGACCACTGGTTTTGCTCCAGTATACTGATATCCTGAAGGTGCTGTTCTCTTGTTAAGAGGGGTCTATCGTTTCATATTTGTGTTTGTCTTACATTTTTATTGAGAATGCCAATCAATTCTTTTACTAATGAGGTGATTTTATGCTTATGCAATTGTTAAAGTCAGTCTGATCAGTCTGTCATGAATGATCAACTAATATAAATGACATCAAAAACACATCAATATTGTATAAATATATTTAAATATAAATATCCACATCTGAATATTTTGTCTAAAAAGAAACATAGAGCGTTAGAGTCCATTTATGCCTGCAGACCAAAACAGTCTAAAACACAGATATACTGTAGAAATACTTAACATCTTTGTGTACTCTGTCATTCAAAGTAAATTGAATTCAAATTAAAATGAAATGCAAAACATTTCACTTCTGTGTCTTAACAGAGCCTACTGTGGAATAGCTGATTTTCCACACAGCATCTGGACAATTAGGGATTCAGGCTGTTTGGGATCTAAGGCTTGTTAAGGACTCAGATCACTGAACTTAATTTCAAATTCATGCTAAACGAATGCCCTTAATTCAATCAGTTTTTGGCAAAGCTCTGTTGTTAAAGTTGTGAATTTCTTAATAACACCTATGGACAAACTTTATTAAGCTTTCTAATAGCTGAAATAAATGTGTACCCATAAGTAAACAAGCTTTTATATACTTATCTTATTGCACTGTATTATGTATCATAAGCAGGACCCTTTTTTCTATTTTCTTTTGAGGAAAATGTAGAATTTAAAACCAGTTATTAAGCCATTGGGAAAAAAATAATAGGATTAAATATCTAAATATCAAATGCATAAAATGGCTTCAGATTTATACATTGTGTTTCACAGCTCTTATAAATGAATTATGAATATGTTCGAGAATGGTCTAGCATTTATACAGCAGACTAAGTACTATTGCTATCTTTTTTCTCTTTCTTCATTTTAGTCTACATATTGTTACAATTGGGGGGCTATGGAACTGGTGAAAATCAGGAAATGAGTCAATCAGTGAAATAATTATTCATAACCCCCCCGAATTGTAAGTGATTTCTATACCCGAGCAGCTGGTATAACTAGAGGCACGTAAATTCTTTATTCTCTGGCACAGCTTTGTTGAGAGGAGTAATAATCCAGGCACACTTGGCTAAAACAAATATTTATTACAATAAAGTACAATAAAATACACAAAACATACAACACACCAAGTTACATTATATTGTTACAAATGGGGCTGGAGAGATATTTTAAAACAATGACACAACACACAACAAAACACATAAAGTTACATTACATACAGTATTTACAGACAAGGCGTTTCACAGGCCTAGCATTCTGGACACCCAGAAAACCCCAGACTGCTGCTAAGCACTAAACATACTCTATGCCTACAGAGGCCACACAAGGGATGAGCTGCCTTCTAACTTAATAAAAAGTAACCTACAGTTAAATTTCTCTCTCCACACCCTGGATGCCACAAAATAAATGGGAGCCTATATCTCTATCCATAAAATACACCCTAATCAGGAAAGACATTTCTAACTGAGTTAACAGGAAACCCAAGTTCTCTAAAGAAACAGAGAATAGCATGCTCTCTCTATCAAGGTTCAAATGCTTAGCTCTTGCCTGGTGCAAGCTTCAAGTCCCAACCCCCCTGGACTCCTCTCTCTTCTCCCTGCTCTCCTTGTTTCTTCCTCCTGCATCTCCTCCTGTTTTTTTCTTTCTCCCCATGTGCTCTTAAGGTTACAATTATTATTCAGTTCAATTCAAGATGCTTTATTGACATGTCTGATGAGTACAACCAGTGTTGCCAAAGCAAATGGAAATAAAATGAACATTAAAAAATCTACAGACATTTACAACAAAGACATATCATAATATATTTACATATACTGTTAACATACAAAGCATTATTGGGAGACAGGCTCACTGTTCCTCAGGCTGTGACAGGAGAACACATACTGGGCTGCAAGTTCAACTGAGTTCCCTCCTCCCTTTTCCAGTAGGATTGGGACCTGTTGTGATTATGGCAGGTGTGGGAATTCTGGGATTAGATTTGTAAATTTAGGGAAGAATGTTTCTCTAATCCCAGAATATTTGTCTCAGTGCAGTACGAAGTGCACCTCTTTCTCTATTTCTCCCCGCTGGCAGTGGGAGCACAGCCTGTCCTCTCTGGAGGACACAGAACTTATACTGTGTCTTTCTGCCCTGCTCCTTTGCAATCATCAATGCACAACTTGCCTAGGCATACAGGTACTAAGATAAACTTTACTATTGTTTCTGCTCAAGGGACCTCAGCAAACATCCTCTCTGCTTTGAAATAAGACATGTTTACTCTTCACAATGTCACAAATGTTATTTAAAATCTGAGAAACACTTCTCAAGTCACCCAAAACTGTAACAGTATTATACCATAAATGCACTGCTTGTTTATACTTCCACAACTATGGATATATAGTATGAGTCCTGCTATTACAGGCCTTTACTTAAAAGTTGTCAGAATATAAAAATATTATTTAATTATATACTGTATAATGTAAATGAGCACTACAACAGGAAAAAAGGCTTCTCAAAAGTTAAAATAAAATTACAGATATGACATCTGTAGCGGCGAGGCTTATTAATAAGACAGAATTAAGTGTTGCGGTGCTTTCCCAAATGAGGCCCCATCTCTCTGTTCATCTCCGTGGTGCAGCCACAGAGAAACTATTCATGCAGGCTGATTTAAAGATGTTTTCTTTTGATAAGGGACAGCTCCCAGAGGGGGATACACTTAGCTAAGCCTGGCTATCATGATCAATGGTCATCCATTGGCGCCTATCTGTCTAGGGAGTGCCAGATGGACATCTGGACTGCATTCCTAAGT